CGGCGGACGAGCTCATGAACTACACAAGGGGCGAGGAAGAGCGCCTCGATGAAGCCATCCGCAGCATTGCCGAGTCGGGCGCCAAGGTCGTCATTGCCGGCGGCTCGATCTCGGAGATGGCGCTGCACTTTCTCGAAAAGTACAAGCTCCTCTCGATCCGTATCCAGAGCAAGTGGGAGCTGCGCCGCCTCTGCCGCGCGGTCAACGCGACGGCCCTTGTGCGCCTCGGCGCGCCGACGCCCGAAGAGATGGGCTTTTGCGACTTCGTCGGCGTCCACGAAATCGGCGGCAAGAAGATCACCATCTTCCGCCAGGACGAAGAGGACGCCAAGATGTCGACGATCATCCTCCGCGCGTCGACCGACAACGTGCTGAACGACCTCGAGCGTGCGATCGGTGCGTCACCTACGTCGACGATATCGATCTGATATGCTTGTAGACGACGGTGTCAACACGGTCAAGGCCGCGTGCAAGGACACGCGGTTCGTCGCCGGCGGTGGCGCGACCGAAATCGAGATTGCGCGTCAGATTGAAGCGTATGGCAACACGACGCCGGGCCTCGACCAGTACGCGATCAAGAAGTTTGCCGAGGCGCTCGAAATTGTGCCCCGGACGCTGGCTGAGAACGCCGGTCAGATGGCGACGCAGGTCATCTCGAGCTTGTACGCGGCCCACGGCGCGGGCAAGGCCAACGCCGGCGTCGATGTCGAGTGCGAAAGCGAGACGGGCGTCGTTGACAACATGCTCAGCGCCAAGGTCCTCGACCATTTGGAGACGAAGAAGTCGGCGCTGCGTCTCGGCGCGGACGTGGCCATCACGGTCCTCCGAGTAGACCAGGTATCGATGATCCTTTCGATACCCTTTGTTTCATGCGCTTCGTCGCGTAGATTATTATGGCCAAGGCGGCCGGCGGTCCCAAGCCGCGTGGCATGTAAGACAGCAATGGATCTTCTTTTAGGGTTAGGACAACAAACAAAAACGCTAAGGCAGTAACAGGGCAACTCAGTATCTCGTCGTCATCCCATCGGCCACCGCACTGACACATACTTTTTATCCTGCAGTCAAGATAGATAGATAGATAGATAGATAGATAGATAGATAGATAGATAGATAGATAGATAGATAGATAGATAGATAGATAGATAGATAGACTGCCGCATTTGAGATATTCAGCATTGCTCATGGCCATGTAGACGCACTGCGTACTGTACGTGCACGGCATGAGCACGTCGCACGTCGAAGGATTCTGGTGTTGCTTCTCCAGCGCGGCATGGCATTTGCGGCTCTCGACTGCGCCGGCTCGGGCAGGTAAGGGTGTGTCGATGCTCTTACGGTGGCCGTAGCAACGCGTAGATCCGATGGAACGTACGTCTCGCTCGGTCTTCAAGGTAGTCTCCCATTTGAAAATGGGCAAGTTGTCATTTTTGGATAGAAAGCCGAGATATATTGATGTGCATATGCGCGCTTCACACGTACTACTCGGTCCAGCTGACGTCACTGAGTCTCTGGGGTCGCTGCATGGGCGCCAACGCCGTGCTCCTCCTCTGCGATGCGCTTCGTATCGAGCGTACTCAAGTAGATAGATATACCCATTGAGGTATGATCGCTGTCGGTAGATTGATACTTTGATCGCTGGCGTAGCGGATGCCTACAGGACTTGCATACGCCGGTGAGGACTGTTGCAGGCCGCGACAGCATCGTACTCGACGCAACCATCGCTCCCTGCGCTGCTGCCATCGGTATTGATGCCTCGTCCAGCCGAGCGGTGCATCTACAAAGTGCGTTCATGGCCATCGAGAGCAGCGGCGCAAAGATGTCGTTGACGAGCGTGGCATGCAGGAACGTCATCGACGTGGCCGGCGCCATGACCTTGCGCTAAGAAATTGCCACCCATGGCGATCCGTTTCTTCGGTCGCGGGATCGCTCCCATATCGATCAAAGGTCGTAGAGCCGACCAACGTGGTCGTTGCCGCCGAGGCTTGCTTTGTTGCCGTCGTCCAGTCACAGGTCGTCGATGCTAAAGCGTTGAGCGCTGCGTGTAGGTCGCAGCATCGAACGGCGGCATGTCGTCGTCGTCGTCTTGGTCATCGCCGTCGGAAGCAAGCGTCGCAAAGGCGTTCGAGAGACCGCTGCTTGTCGCTGCCGTCTTGCGGCGATCGGAGTGGCGCCAGCTTGGACCGGATCGGGCGACGCAAGTCGAGAAAGTGCATGGGGCCGACGTCGGGCGGCAACGATGGTGTCGCAGCGCAGGTGGAAGCTCGTCGCGAGCTCTGTCCAGATGTGCGCTGGCACGGGCAGCACCCTCTCGGTCACTGCAACTGCGGCGGTCCAGATGCTTCTCGTCGTCGTCGCTGCCTTGGTTGCCATCGGCTGCTCATGCTGCGCGTGGTCGCAAACAACGGGCCGCTGTGATCCCTCTCCGACAGAGGCCCTAGAACAAGGGTATTCTGACCTTTTTCAGAGCAAGTCCTCAAATTGAAGGTCCCAAACGAAGCGCGTGGAGCCGGCTCGGATTGGCTGGTATAAATAGAACGAAGAGTGCCCAAGATCCCTATCCCAAAATCCTTGTCCCCAAGCAGGTCCCAAGTTGACCATTCGAGTGCGTCCCCTAGGCAAAACGTTGACCTAACCTGCAAATTGGTTTCCGCTCTCATTCATTATCCAAGCAACAGCAACAACTACAACAACAACAGCAACAACAACAACAACAACAACAAGAATGGTCACCGACTACAGTATCCTCGATTACCTCTTGTGGATCAATCAATACGTCGTCAATATACGGTTCGGTACGCTCTTGGGGGGACATCTCGCGCGGATCGCCGCGCCCCTTGCGACACCACTCGCGCGCTGCGCCAAAAAATTGCGATCACACTCATGCGCAAGAAAAGGGACAAGCTGGCGCGCAAGTTAACCGCCAAGGCGATCGCCAAGTTCGGCTTCGTCGCCACCATCGCAGCCGTCGCCAGTGTCTATCTTATCACCCTGTATCTCGCGCCAGAGACCCGGCTGCTGAGCACAGACCCTCGGCACAAGCACTGGAACATGTCCATCAAGTGCATTTTGAACGAGCCGACGGAGAAGCGTCGGCGGCGCCACGACGAGCTACTCCCCCGTTATAAACTCGTATCTAAAAAATAATGACATTTAATTGAAGTATTATCTCTTTTGGCTGTTGCGCCGACTTGCTCTCGCCAACGACGAGCTCGAGCGTCATGTTGGCCATGACTCGATTGACGAACCAGAGACGCGCGCTCGCACCATGAATCGCGCCGCGTGCTGTCGTTGACTTTGCCCAAGAGCTATTCAATCTCAAAGTGATAGACATAGACTGCCGTGAAACCGAGAAGGACTGCGTTGGCGGCTCGCAACCGTGCCTACTAACAGCAGGACCACAACCGGAAGGATGCTGATTATAGGTTCCTATAGCGTGGTCTTGGAACGTCGATAGAGAGCCTTTAGGGCGTCCTGCCTTCTTGCAGTTAGAGCAATGTTCGTAGTAGCCATATAGGACAATGGATTTCGACGCTTATCTACACCTATCTATCCAACGATCCAACTATATATCTTTCCAACTATCCATCGATCGAGTATCGCAGCCCTAGTATCTTTGAAACGTCGTTGGTAGCTTCGGTCGACAGACGACGCAATGCGATCCATGTGGCGAGGACTTGGTCTCGGCGTTGCGGTTGCTGCCACCGTCGACTGGTCGCTCGTGCCGCCAAATGCGACGTCGGTCGTGACGACGACACCTCTCGGCTGCACCTGCAAGCAGCCTGCACCAGTGTTCGTCCTTGTGAATCATATTGTCGCGCATGCTGAAATGAACTAGCACGGGCGTGTGCAGCAGCTTCACGTGCGCCTGCGCGTGCGATGTGACGGCCGGCGTCTGCGACGCGCGCTGCTGCTGCGACCCCGAGGTCCCTACATCGTCAAGCCGCTTTGAATTCAATGCACGTGCTTATGTAGTGCTCGCCGGCTCAAGTCGCTGCCATGCAAGGCAGCTGCGTCGCAATCGACGTACCCTTTGCCATTCCCTACTGCGACGCTTCGCTGGTGGCCATCAACACCAAATATGGGTCTCAACTCGCTACCTCCCTCTACACCTCCTTACTCGATGTGTAGGATGCTCGACATGCCCGATGCAAGCAGCGGAGCCATGTGCGTATACGTGGCCAACAGCGATGTCAGCGGCACGTACTTTGCCCCGCCAGCCCCCGGCGCCGTCGCGTCAACGACGTCGGATCCGTCCTATGAGCAGGTAGCACTTGTATCAAAGCACCGAACGATCCATTGGACGCGTCTCTAGTCGCTCGTGATGCAGTCGACGTCAACGGTGTATTCTCCAATTTACCGCCAAGGAGACTTTGTGCAGGTGGGTCTAAAACCTGTGTTTTTGAGTTACAACCATTCTCGCGCAGGCCTACATCAACGGATCGACAGCGACGCCAAACGGCAACGGGTTTCTCATGCTCCCGGCCGCGTCGCTGAGCTCGTCGACGTGCTTCTCCGTCAATCCGATTGCGTATACCGTGGGTGGTGGCACCGAAACATCGCGCTGTCGCCTGTCCGTCACCAACCTCACTGCGTCGTGCACGGCGCTGGGCATGTCGCCCTTTGTTCAAAGCCTCTCGGTGGCGACAACCCCCCGTGCCACAACGCTAGTGGCGGTGACACTTGTACGTGGCCATGGCATCGATTCCAATAGTGTGACCATCATCCTGTAGACCGAAGCGAGGCTGCAAACGGCGACTGACATGGTCGACGTGACGCGCAATGCATCGGCTTGGGTGCCGTCTGTCAGCACGCAAATGTGCTCAAGTGTCTTGCAAGAGGTGCGAATGGAAGCGTCGATGTGGATGCTTGGAACCGATGTGGCGTTGTCGTAGCTCACGTACACGATCACGCACGACGGCAACGGCACGATCCTCAGTGTCCAAGCGTCTGTGGTCCTTGGCTCGGTGCCGTTGACTGCGACGTCGCTACCCCAAACATTCCACGTCCGGTTTGTCAGCACAAGCTCCGTGCTGCGATCGCAAGCGCTGGCCAACTTGATCTCGTACGAACGGTCCGGGAACCCCGGGTACCTCGACCACTTGCCCCTGCGCGCCGGTGTTCTTGGCACCAATGGCTCGGTGCAAGCCATCGCTGAGACTACCGGTGGTTTTCCACTGCTGCAAGCCGGTCCGTGCGCCAATGGCACGGCGAGTGGCGCCAAATTTGGCCGCGACATGCTCGTCTCGTGCTCGCTACAGCTGTCGCTGACCGATTTTAAAGCGTTTTGTCTCTCGAGCGCGGTGCCACCGGCGCTGCAGGTGGCCACCACGCACGTCGCCGCCTACGGCAACGCCGATCCGTTCAAGGTCAGCGACTGGGTGGCCGTCACAGCACCGGCCAATGCAACGTCCGGTGGCGTCTACTCGAACGGCGTGTGCACCAACCTCGTACAGTGTTCTTGTCCTGCTGCACGGTATGTTCTGATCAAATGTTGTGCGTAGATCACAAGCGCCCACATCCTCGTCTCGTATGCCCTGACGGGCGACGTGCAAGCGCCGCAGCGCAAGATCACGTCGGTTCTCGTGAGCTACGCCAAAGAGAATGTGGTGTTTCCACTCTTGAGGGCCTCGGACATCATGTCCCTTCTGCTGTCGACGACGCTGACGTTTCGAGAGGTTCCATCGGCAGCCCCAACGGACCTCATTTTGCCGGCGCCCGACATTTGGTTTACGCTGCCCAGCGACGTCTTCTATCCGTTCTTGATCTCGTCGCCCGCGAGCCGTCTCGACGTCAACGTGCCTAGCCTCGTCCTCGCACTTGTATGTTGGATGCGCTAAGCTACCGTCTTATTGACCTCCCCAGCGTCACTACTGAGCAGGATGGATAAAAAGTCTCCATTTACGCAAGCCTACATCATCGTACCAGCATCTCACATGCTTTTGCACGAATCTCATTTTAACTTTTGAGAGGCGTCGAGAAGTCACACAATGCATCCAGCGACATCGCCGAGCAGCGCTCGAGGCGGGGCACCGACGCAGAGTCGATTTGGACCAGACGCCTCGGCAGCCTGTGACCCTCCACGCTGTTGTGTGCATAGGGTCTTTCAAACGCTCTCGTCGATACACGAGTGTCACTTTTTGTTGTTGTAACTACACGCATATGCTTCGTGCTCGAACCGATCCTTTTCGCGCAACTCGGCGCCGCAGCCCAAGGTGCAGACCACGAAGCGCATCGGGCACATGGCTTCGTGCGCCTTGAGGTGGCGCGCCACGAGGTGCTCGTTGCAGCCCAGTGGGCACCAGATCGTACGGTACTTGCATTCGAACGTTTCGTGCTGCGTCTTTTCATGGGCCAGCAGCGGTGTCTTCATGCAGCCGTCCCGCCGAAAGACGCACTCGACCGGCCGCATGCGGCACTTTGCCGTCTTGTGGGTCGTCATATCGAGCGCGAGGATACCGCCGTCACCACATACACCGCAGGCCTGGATGCGATGCGAGCACTCGGTGCGCTGGTGGAGCACCAAGAGAGTTGCGACAATGCCTTGCGTGCCACACCACTCACACGGCACAGCGCGCTTGGTGCAGAGACCACTGACGTGTTCGACCATGTCGCACGCCCGGACGCGCCGCCCGCAGCCGATGGTGCATGGCACGAACCGGTAGCTACACTCGCTCAGGTGACTGTCGACGTCGATGGCGCGGACCGTTTGGCCGCAGCGATTCGGACACACCATCGGGCGGAAGTCGCAGATCTGTTCGTGGTCGG